AGCATGAACACACCCTCACAGACCGGGGACTAATGTCAGAGTGGGCGTCAGGGGAGCGGCGGGCTAGAGACTGGCTGCCTTTGGAGAACCCCATGCTCACAAAGCCATAATTAACATCACTAATTGAAGTGTCTAGAAAAGGCCAGAGCCAGACACTGCCAGACCTGCCCCACCAGCTAGAAGGCCTTCCCCGCCATGCCTCCCTCGCCTCCCTCGCCTCCGGAACAATCAAAGGCTTCCACCTGCCAGGCAGAGACAGGTGTATGGAGGAGCAGGGAGGGAAAGGGATCTGGGGGCAGGAAGAGGGGGAGAGGGGAAGAGATTAGGTTCCCTTAAAGTCGGGTCCTTGGCCTTCCTGGAAATCCTTTCCTCCAGTGTCCTTCTTAGGGTGGCAGTTTCAAGGAAAGCCCTGGGCTGACACGTGGTTTCCCGAACAGATCTGCCCCGACTTGCGCTCCACACCGGGGCGACTCATCCTACTGCTCTGGGCCTCTCTCAGCATCCATGTGGAGAGGACACAGCGGCGACAGGGGTCCAAATAGAAGCTCTATATATACCAGAAAGTCTGAGCTAACAAAGGCAGGGGACTGGGGGACAGACAGAACAGACGGGACCTGGGAGAGGAGGGAAATGAGCAGGGACTCATCCCCTTATTCCACAGATGATGGCTCGAGGGCCACCTGTGTCGTCCTTTCCTCCTGGATGAGGGACAGACGGAGACCAAAGTCACATCCAGCCCCAAGATTGATTTGCTCTTTCCATTTTCTATTACTGGTGCCTTTCTTGGTAAAAATATCCCAGTTCCCACTTAATCAAGAATACATCCCAGGGTCCCAGTGTCTCTAAAAGCTGCCTGTGCTCTGTGGCCACGCTGACTGACAGCCCACCCCAAGGGACCCTTGGGGACTTCCTATGGAAACCAAAAGGCCATCCGGCATCTTTGTCCAAGGAGGAAGAGAGATGAGCTTCCCCTCCCTGCCCTGGCCCCCCCAGGCCCTCCCTCGGCCCCCACTGGACCACCAGAGCCACTGTTTCCCTTCCCCCACCGCCTGCTGCCCTGACCCAGGAGGTGGGGGTCAATGATGGGGTCACTGGAGGCGCCTAGCTCAAAACTAGCTCTGGCGCTTAGGAAGAATTTAACCCTCTCCTTCCCGGCTCATGACTATCCACCCTAACAGATCTACTTTATGGAGGGAAACATCATTGCAGAGGGGGTCCAGACAGGCCCAGGTGAGAGTTCTGCGTGCACAGTGGAAACAGAACTGGCTTTGGAGGCCGAGGGTCTTGAGTTGGAGCCCTAGCTCTGATGCAAATTCAGGATGCAATCCTGGGCAAGTCCTAATTCTCTAATCCTCAGTATTCCTATCTGTAAATTGGGAGTCAAAATACACACACCAGATTGCGAGGGTCCTCAGCACAGTGACTTTCTAAAACTGTCAAAGCGCTTCATACACCTGGATGGTTTATAAAACCCCGTACAAGGGAAAGAGATCTGGAGGCTTTTGATTTACCGTGCGGCCCGGACACACCACCCACCTTCCCAAGGTCTCAGTTCTTCCATTTGCACACAGAGTGAATTATTACTTCTTCTCCCAGAGATAAAATTTTAAGTGGGGGAGGGCTCCAAGGTCTTTGATGCCGTGGAAATACAAGAGCCGCTAAGGCCCTGGTTTCCACTTGCCGGCTGCAGCCCAAATCAGCAGAAAGATAATCACAGAGTGATCGCAACAAGCTCAGCACTTCACAGATATTTTCAGCGGCCACAAGACCCATTTTATAGATGAGGCAGCTGAAGCGAAGGGAAAGCGACAGAATCCTATTTAGGATCCGCCTGACTCCACGTCCAAAACCACAGCCCAAGGAACCTGGAAAAGAGGCCGCTGCCTACAGGCCTGCCAAGCCCAATTAACCCTCTCCAGCAGGAGGGCTGGGTGGCGAGAGGACAGCCTTCACCTCCCGCCAGGTCCTTGCAGGCAGCTCCTGAGCCGCCCAGAGTCCAAAGGTTGGTAGCCGGTTGTTACAACTTGTTACAACTCACCAGCAGCCAGGGTTTGTGACCGCACTGGTTTCACACCTCGGGGCCATCCCAACTACATGTGAATTTCATAGGTTCGACAAAAATCCATCCTACTTGGGGCAGAAGTGTCCCCCCTCAGTGACCAGTTTAACGGACAACACTGGGCAGAGGACGAAGAGCGGTTGGCTCTGAGCAGGGCGGTCATTTCTGTTACACCGGGCAACGCCCCACCTACACTAGCGCGTGACAGACCGTTCATTCCCTTTCCTGGGCTGCTCCTCTGCACCAGCATGGTGGGGTCCACGCCCCACCCCTGCTCCAAACTTCTGGAACACCTGGGCCAGCGGTTCTCACGCTTGCTTCTCGGACTGAATGGGTCCCGCGAGTAACAGAATAACCCCAGCAACAATAAGAGCAGCAAACACGGGGGTAGATTCCCGCGGCTCTAACACTTCCCACCTCGTCAATCCTTTCAACTGAAGCCTTCCAACACGCGGGCATGATGGCGAGCAGCAGTTCACAGTGGCGGAAGCTGAAGCACAGAGAGGAGAAGCAACCTGGCCAGGGCTGCACAGCAAGTGCATCTGCGTGTCGCTTGTGAAGAAGGAAAACCGTGGAAGGCTGAGGGAGGTGTTGGGGCCAACAATCCACCCCCTTTCCCAGATCCCACAGGCCATGCTCAAGACCCAAGGGAGGGCTGTCCGCACATCCAGGCAGGCCAGGACAGCCCCACCTCTTCCACCCTAGCATGAACCCCCAAAAGCACCACCACAATGGCCACCATCCTAGTACCAGCTCCCACTGACTGGAGCCTTTTACACTCGTGGCCCTGTATGAAGGCCTGTAACAGGTACATCACTTGATGGAATCCTTTTAACCTTGTGAAGTAGGTATTTAATCTCTTCCTGCTTTGTAGGTGAGAAAACTCGGCTCTGAGAAAGATCTAGGATTTGCCGGAAATCACACAGCTCAGAAGCAGAGCCAGCACTCAAACCTGGTTCTATCTGACTCCACCTCACAGCCTTCCAACCCAAGGCGGTGGAGGCAGAAATGGCTCCATCAGTCCTGGCGCTCTGGCCAACTCCGCTGAAACATGTTACTCCCACAGTGCCACTGTTTCCTAGGATTCCCTGCTTCACCTCCCTGGACAGATTTCAGCTTCCCTGTGGGCAGGGTCTGGTCTCCTCTCTTCGCACCTCACCCAAACCCTTCACGTGGGAGGGCTTAGTAATGCTTATCCATCCCCTGAGGATCACATTTGTTCAAAAATATATCAGGCCAGACCGTTGCCTTTTAAAAAGACCTCTAGAGGGTGCCTGGGTGGCTCAGTTGGTTAAGCGACTGCCTTCGGCTCAGGTCATGATCCTGGAGTCCCGGGATCGAGTCCCACATCGGGCTCCCTGCTCAGCAGGGAGTCTGCTTCTCCCTCTGACCCTCTTCCCTCTTGTGCTTTCTATCTCTCATTCTCTCTCTGAAATAAATAAATAAAATCTTTAAAAAATAAAAAAAAATAAAAAAAATAAAAAGACCTCTAGAGATTAATAATTCTTAAACCTGAGGCGCCTGAGTGGCTCAGTCGGTTAAGCATCTGCCTTCAGCTCAGGTCATGATCCTGGGGTCCTGGGACCGATCCCAGCCCCAAGTTGGGTTCCCTGCTCAGCGGGGAGCCTGCTGCTCCCCCTCCCCCTGCTTGTACTCCTCTCTCTCTCTCAAATAAATACAATCTTTAAAAAAGATAATTTTCAATCCTGAACAATGTAAATTTGCCCATTTGTTAAGAAACGGCACACGCTGGCTTTCCCAGGAACGTTGGCGACACTTATTGGCTTGGGCCCTGGCAGGACCAAAGCCGAGGGCAGCAGCATGGGTCTGGGCAGACAGAGAAAAGCAATACCCCTCCCCCCTCGCTCCCCCAGGGCCGCCAGCCTCAGCCCCACACCCTGGGAGCCCACTAGCCCTGGCAGGGAGATGCAAAGTTGTCTCCATCACCAGATGGTTCAGCATGATTTGAGGCAGCAAAAATGTCTTTGAATGGAAAGCAAAAGAACAGGGTTCTGTTGGAATGTTTCACAGAACAATGAGAGAGAAGTTTCAGTCTGAATGAATGAGCTAGCCATTCTGAAAGTTCTCTGAAACCCATTCTCTGGTTCCTCATTGTCAACCAAGTCCTAGCTCCCTGACCAGCTCTGGCCTTGGCGGTCTTTGCCTAACTTTGATCTAAGCTGATGCGCCCCCCTTTGCCACGCCGTAAGGCTCAGGGCGGGTAGCTCAGCCACCGTCGCTCCTTACAGCCCCTGGCACAGAGGTGCCCAGTGAACAGTCGTCCTAGCAGGACACAGGGGTGCCAATGAACCCCATGTAGTGTGCTGGGCCCAGAGTATGTGCTCCAGACACTTACTGAACTTCCCCGCGCAAAATCCAATCTTGTAGCTCATCGTTTCGGGAACCCTGGAAAGAGCCTGGAGCTAGCTGGGGAGGAGGATATCAAGTCAGGGAACAGAGGACAAGTCACCCGTCTCGGGAATGAGCGGCCCGGCCGTCAGCTGTGTGAGGAAGATAATAAGATAATCGTCCAAGCCTCACAGCTGGAAACCAGGCCCATTCTCTCACTGCCCAGTGCACACAGCCTCGGCCCTGGCTCTTTCCGGAGTCCCACAGAAGCTTCTCTCCTTCCAGCAAATCTGCCCTTCAACAACCATCCAGTGGCACCAAGCAAGCACCTGGCTGGGAGGCAATGAACTCGCTCGAGTGGTTCACTCTCCCCAAAGCAGCCTGGGCCCCTCCCAGCCATGAGGCAGAGGCCAGAGGAGGGGGCACCCCCATCCGTCCCTGCCACTGCCGAGTTCCCTGCCCTTCGGCACCAGGGACCCCCTTGGAGGACGCTGACCCTTTGAAGCCTGGATACTGCTGCTCCATTCTCATCAGAGGCCAACAGCTGGGAGGAGAATGAGGGGAAGTCAGCGGAAGAAGGGGACCAACTTACGTGCATGCGCGGAGGAAGGGGACTTGCTTCCAGGAATGGGGACCAGTGATGAGTCCCGGGGGGCGTGGAGGCCAGCCTGGGGGACAAGGCGCCACAGGTGATGCCCCTGCCCTCCGCATCAGCTTCCAGGACCCCCTTCGGCACAAAGCCCGGGCACCCACAGATAGAGATCTGCGGCTCGATCTCGTGGCCACCAAGCTCAATTCCATCAGCTCAGCACTTTCGCAGAAAGGGTGGGTTGTTTTGCTTGTGCACCACTTTCCACAGGTCATCGTGCCCGCTCCCCGTCTTCCGGGGTCCTCTGGCGTGCTGTTCTCTTTCTTCCTGTTCTCCTTTCCCGGCCGGTGTCTTCTCAGACCGCCTCTCTTGAGAAACTCAGTGGTGGCTCTGTTCCGAGCGTCCCAGCCACGACCCCACTTCACAGAGAGAAATCTGGAGCCCAAGGCCCAGTGAGCATGCGAGTGGGAGGGGAGCCCATTCACCCGGCTTACAAGAGCCATTTGGGCTCCCGCGGGGAGGCCATGCCGTCTGCAAGGGCTTCTTCCCACGCAGGACTGGGCTCAAGTTGGCCCCATGCTAAAGCTATCCCCTAGCACAGGCCAGGACGCCACACAGTCGACCATAAATTGTTGACCTGCTCCTCTTTCCTGTCCGGCCTCGCAACGTGGCCCTTAAGAGTCTTCCCCCAACCCTGGAGAACAGAATGTGCTTGGCTGGAGACCTGGGTGTCATAAATTGCTAATAACAGATTCTCAATCTGAAAAACAAAATAATAGAAGGCCTGTCCCTTCCTTTCTGCTCCTCTCACCCTCAACACTTTCCTGCAAGGCCAAGAAGAAAAAGAAATGCCTCCTTTGGCCACCGAGTGGGAAACCAATTCCTCCCCTCCCCGGGACCCCCAGGGGATCAGTCTCCCCACCAGCCTCGCGCTTCCCGGGCACAAAAGCCAGGCCTAAAGGAGCCTGTTCTGCGAATGTCTTCGTTTCCCAATGTCCCCTCTTGTCTCTAACCTCACTTTATCCTCAAATTAGCTGAGCACCTGCTAAGTGCCAAGCACTGTGCACCAGGCAGGAAGGTGCCCCAAACCCCACTCACAGAAGAGGGGTGGCCGCGGGGGAGCAGTAGGGGTCTGGGTGGCGCTAAAGAGCAGTGGTGTTGAGGCTGGCCCAGACTTCTGGGCTCACCCTAGGGAGGACCCATAGCCAGGCTATGGAGGCCGACTCTGTTCCCAACCACCTGCCCTGTGGAGAGCCATCTGGGAGTAAATGGGACAAGAGTGTGGAGGCAAAGACAAGAGCAACAGCCAGAAGCTGCCACCTTTGGAAAGAACAATAGTGAAAGACAAATCTGAATGTTCCCAGGGAAAGAGTATAAAATTGTGTTCAGGGTAGAGGTTATATGCAAATTGCACATAAATATGTACATGGTCCTTGGACAGACCCACACGTCTGCTGCTCTTTCTGCCCCCCCCCAACACCCCCCTCTGACTCAGGCAGTCTCCAGGCTACCAGGCCACCTTGCCAGGGCATCCCAGACCTTTGTCCCCAACCCTGTCTCCCAGCACCTCCCTCCGCCCACCTTCTCTCCCAGCCTCTCCTCACCCGAGTAACACGAGTGCAGAGGATAAGGAGGAGAGACAATGGGGGTGTGGGCAATGCCCTCACTGGGCACAACCCCAGATGGCAGGTGACGGAGGAGAGGTGGAGAATGGTAGTCTCTGCCAAGCTGGACATCCTTCCAGATCTGGTCTCGGGACAGGCTCCCTGTGACTGTCAGGAGAACCCATGGACTCCAGACATTCATCGATTCCCCAGCCCTTCCCATCACCCATTCCTCAAAACCAGTGGCAGGAGGCCAGGGGGCTCTGCAGCAAGATCCCAGAGTGGGTTTCCACTTTAGTCCGCACGGGGTCAGACACGCCACGCGGGCCAGCCTCGTCCCTGCAGACCCACAGCCAGCGTGGGACTGGGACGTGAGCCCTACCACTTGGATGAGTCCCCGTCCCTAAAGCTCAAATTCCTCATCCACAAAATGGGGGGTCAGATGCTCTCTGCCCTCCCCAATTCACAAGGTTTCTCAGGCACCCGAAGGTGAGCCACCGGCAAAGAGACGCAGAGCGCAGATGTTGGGCTATGACAAAGCGTCTGACTCCACATCTGGATTCTGAAACTGCAACAAACATTACCCAGGTGGCTGTCACTGTGCTCGTCTGACTCTTCGTCGCTTTCCCCCCGGAGGGGTCAACACAGTCCTTCCCAAGCTGCAGATGGGAGAAGTTGAGTTTCCAAGAGATGAAGTGACAGGCCTGTGGGCACAAGGGCTGGACCAGGGAGGGCCTTGGCCCCGGCTGCGTGTCAACCCTCAAATCTCAAACACCAGCACAGCGGTCAGAGGGAGAGGTGAGCGGGCCGCTGGAGGGCTTGTCCCCGTCGGAAAGGCAGGACAGGTACCCCACTGCCTGATCCACAGGGAGCCACAGCCCCTGTACGGCTGGGTCCCCCCCTTCGGCCCGGCAGGCTTGCGTGGGGCCCTGGGAAGGCTACCATGGGGGTCCTGGGCCTCCTGGCCTGACTGATCTGCCTGGGAAAGGGGCAACCTGGCCTGTGTCCAACTTGACAATCATGGAAGGAAGATGACAGACCACCATTTCCGCATGACAGATACAGAAACCAAAGTCCAACAAGGCTTATGACCTGGACAAGACAGAGAATAATCCTAACAGTTCCCTTCACCGTGCAATTGCTGGGCATCGGCACGTGACACACCTTTTTCTAGAATCCCCTCAATAGGTTGCCACAGGGGAGACACCATTACTCCATTTTACAGATAAGAAAAATGCAGCTCCAAGAAATTAGGCAAACAGCCCAATATCGAGTCTCAAAATCCAAAAGCTTCAATTCTAGAACTTTCTGACTGTACAACTCCATGGTATTTTCACTGAACTATCCTGCTTTTAAATTGAAGAATGTTCTAGAGCGAGACTGAAGTTATTCATGATGTATTGGTGTGGGGAGGAGGAGGAAGAAGGAAACAAAGTGATGACCAGGATTGGTACCTGACCCTGCAGCAAGCTAGGGATGAGCCTGCACTCCTTCGCCTGCCATGCAGGCCCTTCTCTGCCTGGCCCAGGCCACCCCCCCAGTCACCATCCTCACACACCTGTAATGCAGGCACAAACGTGCACGTTCACACCCTCTGGCTAGAAGGTCCTCCTACATTCTTGACCAGAAAACTCCTATACTTCCCTCAAAGCCCTGCTCCAATACTGCCCTTTCTCTAAAAATCACTCCCTGATCATCCTAGAAGAGTTGATTGCTCCTCCAGGGAATGCCAGAGTCTTTCGACATCCCTGGTCCCCGGTACTTGACTGGACTCCAATTCTTTGTTTACTTGTGTATTCCTCAGGCTCTGGCTAGATTTGAGCCCCAGGAACAGGGACAACAACAGCCTTCTCTAATCTGCCCTCGCAAGACCACACCAGGCATCTCTTTTTTTTTTTTTCAAAGATTTTATTTATTTATTTGAGAGAGAGAGAGAGAGTGAGAGAGAGAGAGCCCAAGAGGGGGTAGGGTCAGAGGGAGAAGCAGACTCCCTGCTGAGCAGGGAGCCCGATGTGGGACTCGATTCCGGGACTCCGGGATCATGACCTGAGCCAAAGGCAGTCGCTTAACCAACTGAGCCACCCAGGCGCCCACACCAGGCATCTCTTCACACACCTGACAATCACACAGCCCCGTGAGGCAGTGACTCCTACCGCCCCCACGTTACAGGTCAGGAAACTGAGACTCAGACAGGCCAAGTTAGCAGACCACACAGGCAGTCCGGCTCCAGGGCCTGCCCGCCCATGCTGGTCCTGTACTACTCTTCTCTGCCTCCCTGTCCCTAGTGCAGCGCCTGGCGCATGGTAGGTGCTCAGTAAAGGTTTGTTTCACAGAAAGGCATGGAAGGAGGAGGGTGTTGTCTCACCCCACCCACCTCCAGCCCCAAATCCCACCTGGAATTCTTTTTTTTAAGAGAGAGAGAGAGAGAGAGAGAGAGAGAGAGAGAGCGAGCGAGCACGCCTGGGTGGCTCAGTTGGTTAAGCGACTGCCTTCGGCTCAGGTCATGATCCTGGAGTCCTGGGATCGAGTCCCGCCTCGGGCTCCCTGCTCGGCGGGGAGTCGGCTTCTCCCTCTGACCCTCCACCTTCTCATGTGCTCTCTCTCTCCTCTCTCTTTCAAATAAATAAATAAATAAATCTCTAAAAAAAGAGAGAGAGCGAGCTGGAGCATGCAGAGTGGGAAGGGAGGGGCAGAGGGCAGAGAGAGAATCCCAGCCAGGCTCTTTGCTGGGCGTGGGGGCTCGATCCTACAACCCTGAAATCATGAGCTGAGCCAAAATCAAGAGTGGGACACCCAACCAACTGAGCCACCCAGGCATGCCCCCACCAAATTCTTTGGTCCAGGTCTCCCTACTTCTGGTCCCACCTTCCATCACTCCTGACATTCAGCGCTTCTTTCTTCCAAATACCTCCAGGTGCTTTTCCAATTTCCCATCCATTTCTTCCTGAGGCGTCTTGCTGTCTTTCCCAGTGGGAAACTGAGACCCACAGAGGCTTCCTGGCCAGGGGAGCTGTTCAGAGGCAGGTCTCCTGCCTACAGGGCTAATGCCTCCTATGGACTGGTTTTACCTCTGCCTCAAGCAGAAAAAACAAGCACCAAGTTGCCGGGGGCGGGGCGGGGGGCGTTTCTGGAAGGTCAGCACCTGCCCTTCCCTCCACGCCATCACCCCCTGGCTGACCTGGCCACTGGTCTCTGGCTGGGCCTGAGAGCCAAGTTGGGGGGAGGGCTGTTCCCCGGGCTAGAGAGGAGGAGACAAGAGGCCCTTTGTGTCTGCAGAGCTCCTGAGACACCTGTTCTCCCTCCTGGCCAGCCTGTGTGCGGCCTTGTTTATCCTACAGGCCTGGCAGCCAGGCCCGGCCCGCTCCCAGCGTGGGGCTCCAGCAGCCCCTGCTAGCACCTGCCTGGGCCTGGCAGCCCCGCGGGCCGCGGGCCAAGCACAACCCCCTGCTGTTGACACAGTTGTTGATTTTCGGGAGGGCAGGGAGGAACGGGAGAGGAGGGGAGAAGCAGCAAAGGCATCTGACACCAGCCCAGCTAATTTGCAGTTGGTCCTTGCAATCTGTGCCCCTCCCGTCCCCAGCTGCCTGGGAGACGCTTGGGCCACACAGCAGTGTGCCCGAGTCCCGCATGACCCTGCAGCACCACACCACAGGCAGCCCCCGCACACCGCCCCGTGCGTGTCAGTGCACCTCCATGCTGGCACACACGACTCAGAGCCGGGCAAGGCCTCTGCGTGCCAGGAGCCCTTAGCCACCCTGTCTTCAAGCGCCTACCGCTCCCCCTGCCTCCAAAGTCCTGAGGCTCCCTCGGTCCTCGGTGAGGGGCAGGACCATCTGACATGCCCTTGGAGACCCAGGGAGGGCCCCAGGAAGACGTGAAGGGATCTGTCCTTACAATCTTCTCTTCTCTCTGACTTGGTCTTGCGGAGCGATCTCCTCCTCACCCTCCAGGTCTTTAGGTTTCCTCTTAGAGGGAGCCTTCCCTGATTGCCCAACTCTGGTTGCGGTGCCCTCCTCGGTCCTCCCGAAGCACTACACCCTGCACCTCCCCACCTCCACTTCCGTCAGTATCGAACTGATGACTTACTTCCCTTCACCTTCCTCACTGCTGTGTCAGGGGCTGTGCTGGTCTCAGCCCCAGAGTAGCAGGGACGTGAATCTGCTGAGTGGCTGCATGGCCGCCGGAATGGAGCAGGCCCCCTCAGGCCCAAACACCCACTCGACCTCCACCCCAAGCTCCCACTCTGACAGTCACCTCCTGGATGAACAAGGCCCTGTGGCTGGTTAAAAGGCGTCGGGAATGACCCACCAGCACATGAACTTAGATTGGTAGATCCGCTTTGCCAGTGATCTCAGAGATCAAAGAACAGGATCTTGAAGGACAGGGATGGGTGAGTTTTGAGCATGAAAGGGGCAGAGAGGAGGGCAAGGGTGCAAGGAAGACCCTGTGGGTTGGAGGCCAGCAAGGAGAGGCTACTGTCAGGCCGGGCAGGAACTCCCTTGCCTCCACCCCATATGCATCCCCAACACCCGGCAATCTGTCCTGCCCCTTCCCTTCCAGAGCTCCTAAATCCATCAGGAGGTCCCTCACTATCCCAACAGGACTTGGGTGGTAGCAGTCCAGCTTCCCAGACCCTCACTAAACCGCCGACCACACACCCACGCTCACAGACAGGCCCTCCCCTCAATTCTGTTTCCCCAAACTCCAAGTCAATCGATGCCCAGAAAGGGGTAACAGATAGCCCAATCACTTCCAAATTTGGGATGTCATGTTGAGGAGAATGGATCTGAGGCCAGGCAGAGTTGGTAGAGAGAAGGGAACTTACATTACAGAAACCACAGGCCCCTGATGTTCTGAGCCAGTTCCAACAGGGTCACCACGTTCAGCTGTGCAGACTGTGCACTGCACAACACGAAGAGCCCCATTCAGCCAGACTTGTATACTTATCACAACTTAGATGGCAATCAAGTTCATCCCTTGACTTCTTCACAGGCCAAAGAGAAAGTTCTCCTGCTACCCAACTCCACTTCAGGTAAGAGGTGACACAGATCCCCTTCCTCTGTTCTTTGACCTGTTTCCTGGCTAGGGGGCCTGTTGAGTGAAGGCTGAGCCCATCCCCCCAAGTAAGAGGAGAGGCCTCCCTCTCCCCGCCCCCCAGCCCCAGCTAGGGGACCCCATGACTCCACCACTCTTTCCCTACACACTCGGCTTTCTCCAGCCCCTCACCCTGGCTAGACTCCCCAGCATCATCCACTCCTGGTGAGAGGGTATGGCTGCAGATCCATGCTCCGGATGACAGAGCTACAGGAGGAAGGAGGGTCACTACCCACTGCCCTGCCCCTCCCCAGGTAGAATGGAACTGAAACCCCAATCTCGCTGGCACCTGAGGCTCTGGAGAACTGGAGGTCATGGAGGAGGAGAGAGAGGAGGGCCTCCCTCTGGCTCCCCTGGGCCTTCCAGTCCACTCCCTCCTTTATTCTTAACGTTGGTCTCATGTCCCCAGTACCCCTGGGGCTCTCAGAGGCACTGCCTGGTCTTCCAGAGGCCAGAGGGGCTGACCAAGGTCTCTAGAACACAGCACCGCCAGCCTGGCTGCTCATGCAGAAGCGCACGCCTGCACACACGCACGCGCACACACATGCATGCACGTAAGCACAGCAGGCCCTTGCCAAAGAGCCAGAGAAAGGGGAGCCAGGCCATCCAGAGGAACGGCAGGGGCTGGAGGGGCCACTCCCTCTGCTTTCAATACCTCCCTATTCATTCTCCACTCCCCTCACCCCACCTGCCTCTGACAGCCCCACTCTACCTGCACCCAGGCCTCCTTCCAGCCCCTCCTCATTAACCTTTGATTCGCCCCTCCTTGCCCTTCCTTTCCCACCGGACCCACCCCTCCAGGGACAGGCCTGGAACCAAAGCCTCACAGGGATAAAGGAATGACTTCAGCTCCTTCAATAGGGCTGGGGGCGGTTTCAAGAACTTCACACCCCACAGGCAGAAAACTCCTCTCCGTCCATTCTGAGGAGTGCACAGGGCCTGCCTTGGAGGGCCTGCCTTGCTTAGCCTGTGTGGCCAGGCAAGAGTTAACTCTTTGGAGTCAGGGTGAGGGCAGCTCAAGGGAGGATTTACTTCCTTTGCTGCCTCCTGCCAGGTGCCAGGGCGAACAGGAGGGTACGGGCCAGGGCGCAAAGGCCCACTCCACTGTCAGCCTGAAAGGGCACCAGTCCAGCCTTACAGGATTCTTCTCATACTCCCACAACCACCCCTCCTGCCAGGGACCCCTCTTTCTGCAGAATATTCTAGCGTGGGTCCCCACTCCTCTCTGTCTGCCAGAGAAACACTGACTTTTCTGTTGCTCTGCGTATCAGTTCTAGATATATTTTAAATCCTTTCCGTTCTGCTTACAAAAGTAATGCACATTGTTGTACTACTTTGGGGAACTTCAGAAACACAGAAATAAGAATAGAAATATGAGCCATAATTTAAAAAAAAGAAGTCAACAAAGGGTGTCGGTCTAGGGTGGGGGTGGGTCTGTCTGGCCTGCTACCCACTGGCCTCTAAATGCCCCCCCCATCTTGGACTTCCAAGGAAATCCCCCCCCCCCAGCTGCTCCTTCAAATGGTGGGACCTAGACCCCCCGAATGGGCAGCGGGGCAGGTCTAGAGTGCCAAGAAGCAGGACCCGGCTCCGAGGTGCCCACTCCCTTTGTGGGGGGAAGGGAGAAGGCCTGCACCAAGGCCCTCTGGGAACTAGTTCTCACCCCATCCAGTTCCACAGGCTGCACATTCCATTCTGAGTCAAGCAGGGGGCGGGGACTGGGGGAGGTAAGGCCGAGGGGAGGAGAACAGTCTGGCCTCCTCTGGGGCGGATCCCCCAGGGAGCTCCAGGCCTG